CCTATCCCTTATCCCCTACCCGCCACTGCCCCCTCTCCCCCTCCCCACCAGTTCCCCAAATGATCCCCTCCCATCTCCCCCTCCCCCGTCCTCCTCCCCCCTCTTTCTCCCTCGTATTACTTTCGCGTTTGTTGTTGTCGCGCACTTGTTTTCGACGTTTAATCAGCAAAGTCGGCGGTGTCGGTGGCGCTGCCGAGGTGCTGAATATACAAGCCGGCCGGTCCGCTCGGCTTTGTCTTGCTCTCGGGATCGCCGGGTTTTTTGGAATGTAATTACGGGAAGAGAAGGAGGAGGTGAAGGGAGGGGGGGGGAGGAGGGAGGGGAGCAAGGGAGCAGGGAGCGATCTACCCCTTCCTCGTGAGCGGGGGCACCGCACGCCCTCCTCAAGACGTTGGGACAAGTATTCGGGACTTTTTGTGGGGATTTCCCTTTCTTCACGTGTGTTTTGATTTTTTCCCTTTATAAATCCATCGCCCATTATTTAATAATGTTTCGCTAGTTTAGGTATTTCTTGATTGCCCTTCTAACCCACTTTCCGTTCCGCCCGCAGGGAGGTCCTGGGCGAGGTGATGGCCAGCCTGGGCCAGCTGGACGCCTCGAGCAAGTGCCTGGCCACCGCCATCGAGATCGAGTCCAAGGCGCCCATCCTGCCCTTCACCTCCATCCCCTTCTGCTACGAGTGAGGAGGCCCAGGGCGCGCGCCTCCTGCTCGTTCCTGCTGCGCCGGGGCACCTCGGGACCAAGCGCCTCGCCGGCCGCTCGTGACGCGCCTTCCGCGGCAGGCGTCGAGACCCTCCGCCGCGCCCCTCTGATCCTGCCCTTCTGTCGCCTTTGCTTCGCTTTACCTCCGTTCTGTCCTCCTCTCCCTCTTCTCCTCTTCTCTCCTTCCTCCTCTCACTCTTCCTCTCCTTTCCTCTTCCTCTTCCTCCTCCTTCATTCACGATCATGCTTTATCTATATAACTCTATTTTCTTTCCTGAATATCTTCTTCCCGTCTTCCCTCTTCCATGACAGCTGTCAGCCCACGACTCCCGCCGCGCGCACTCGCCTGCCCGCCACTGCGCCCTGTCATTGTGAAAGAGATACAGTTTGATGTTGATTATGCCATGCCTTAGTAGTGTGTACAGATTGTACAGATTTCTAGTCAAGGAAAAGGGACAACGCATATGAGAGAGAGAGAGAGAGAGAGAGAGAGAGAGAGAGAGAGAGAGAGAGAGAGAGAGAGAGAGAGAGAGAGAGGAGAGAGAGAGAGAGAGAAGAGAGAGAGAGAGAGAGAGAATAGAGAATAGATGAGTCGAATGTCTGCGCGTGAGTGAGTGAGAGCGTGAGTATGTCATAAGGATGAGCGAGGGCGGCGCAAGGAGGGCGAGTGAGGGCCGAGGGCGGCGGGCGGGAACCCGATTGTGGACGCAATTTAGGCCCTGGGAGGGGGGAAAGGGGAAGGAAGGGGGGAGGGGAGGAGGGCGAGAATAGCCACAAGCAACTGTCGCCCTTAGTGGTCTGTGCTAGTACCGTCGCCTGTGTTGTTGTTCTACAGGTATACACAACCACATCACACAAACACTACACTACACACCACACCACAACCCAAACACTATGTACACTACACATATGTACGTATGTAAAGCCTACATATGTATTTGAGCATTTTATCGAAACTGGAGATATTTTTATGATGTAGTGTGTCTTGAATTTAGCTACAGTATATATAAATATGTATATCTAATGGAAATTGTTTTGTCTGTTTATATTGCTGTGTATATCATTGATATTGTACATGTTATGATCGGCAGATATAGCAAGATAATGGTATTCTAGGTGACCCTCTTCTGGCACTGTGTCAGATTATTCCTGTGATGGTTACTGTAACAACAGTATTATGGAATTTGTTATCAAGTTGTAGGATAAGTGGCGTATTATACTTACATTGTTGCATATTGTAATTGTGAGATGACAATGATAATATAATAAAACAATTGTGTCATGCTGTGTGTTTGTACCCTTCGTCGTGAATTACTGTAATTACGTTGGTCAATCATAGTAAATTACAAATAACTTAATAGTGTATTACAGGTACATATTTACGAAAACAAATGTATGTAAATAAAGACAAATTACTGGGATAAGACGTTAATGTTAATAGAAATATCAATACGTAATTGATCCATATTACAGTTTCATAGAATTGTTACACTACAAGAATGCAATAAGCAAGAAAGTAGATATAATTAGCAAAGGTAAACAGACAATATGGGACAGCACCTGTGTGTATATATTGATGATTATGTTGATCATCTAAGGCTCAAAGAAACCGTAATAACAAATTAAGTGAGACTCGAGAAGCTTCTAGAACATAGAAGCAACGTGTGGTGTCACGCAAAGAAGTAAAACTGAAAGAATCAAGAGACAAAGATTATTTTCAGAGATAGAAGAGAGAAATTAAAAAGGGTAATAGAGAATGCAAGAAAAAGGATAAGTGTGATAAATCATAGCGATGATAGATGACAGGTTAAACATAATATTTAGAAGAGGAAGAGAAAGAAAAGAAATACAACAGGAGAACCATAACAAAGTAAAGAGGACGACATAGAACAAAAGGGACATAGACAATGCTTCGAGGAACATCAGAGAAGGCCAATCTGGGAGTCAGTTCACCAAACGTTAGTGCGATGAGAGGAAACAAAGGACCTTTTCCAGATTAATACAATGAGAGTTATAGACAGCACATTGTGTGAGATAAATTAGGAATGGAGAGTGGGTATTTTGGCACATGATCCACATCAGTGGTTTGTTTTAATCACGGTGCTTTTGTTCTAATTATGGTATTGCCAGCAGTCTTCAACCGGAAGACAGATCTCTCTCATAGTTCGTTTTGCGTCCCTCCGAGGCTTCTGCTAAATTATAATTCTCTCTCTCTCTCTATATATATATCTATCTTTCTTCTATATATATATTATTCTCTCTCTCTATATATATATCTATCTATCTATATATATATTATTCTTATCTATCTATCTATTTCTATTTCTTTCTCTCTCTCTTTCTCTTTCTCTCTCTTTCTCTCTCTCTCTCTCTCTCTCTCTCTCTCTCTCTCTCTCTCGTCTCTCTCTCTCTCTCTCTCTCTCTCTCTCTCTCTCTCTCTCTCCTCTCTCTCTCTCTCTCTCTCTCTCTCTCTCTCTCTCTCTCTCTCTCTCTCTCTCTCTCTCTCTCTCTCTCTCTCTCTTCTCTCTCTCTCTCTCTCTCTCTCTCTCTATCTATCTATCTATCTATCTATCTATATCTGTCTCCCATTCATTCTCAATAAAATAGTCTCTTTCTATCCCTTCATTTGATAAATAGTACTAGAACTGTCTTTCTCCTCTCCCATCGTCCCCTGTTTCCATTTTTCTCTCCCTCTCTCATTCCCATTTTCCTACCTCCTTCCTCCCTTTCCTCTTTCTCTCCTCTCTTTCTCTTCGTTACCTTCTCCCCCCCCCCCTCCTTCCCCGTTCACCTGCCCTCACCTCCCCCTTCGCCCCCCTCCCCTTCTACCTGCCCTCACCCCCCCCTTCTGTCATGCTTCCATCACTCCAACATAAGTCCGTGCTCATGCCACCCCCCCCCCCCATCCCCATCCCCCACCCGCCAACCTCGCTAACCTGCGCTATCGAGGTTCACGCGACGCAGCTATCATTATTCTTAAACAATTCATAATCATCTCTAATTTTACCACAATTACTCATATTCATTAATGCATATTCGCGGATGTACATTAATATACATTCAGCAAGATGATTACACGAAAACGAATTTTTATCCCGCTCATAATGTACATTCAGTAGATAGATATACGGAAACGATAGGAAGGATAGGAAGAGGCGGTAAAGAGAGAAGGGAGGAGAAAGGGGAAGACAGGAGGAAAGAGGAAACAGATAGATATACGAATACATGAATTTCTATTGCCGCTCTGACTGGAGGTCGAAGGTCCACACATCATCTCACCACTGCATTGGCATCGATAAAAAAAAAAAAAAACTTTCAATATACATCAGCCACAACTGGGTTCAAGACTAAAGTACTAAAGATCTCAACCATTAAGTTTCGAAATCCATGCGTGTCCTGCCAAATAAGACGAGGAGGGGGGGGGAGGGGGAGGAGGGGTACAGGCGGGAGGGGGGGAAGGGGAGGGGAGGGGAGGGAAGGGAGACCAGGGGAGGGAGGAGGGGTACAAAAGAGGAGATGGGAAAGGGGAGGGAGGGAGGAAGGAGGTAGCGAAGGAGAAGATACAAGAGAGGGGAAAGGAGGGACAAAAAATAGTTGAAGGAGGAGGAAGGACAGGAAGACGCGGCAAAGAGAGAAGGAAGGAGAAAGGGAAGCCAGGAGGGAATAGAAGGGAGGGGAATGGAAGAGGGGGGGGGAGAGGGAAGAACTTCGTGAGACAGAGTATCACTCCTGTAAGATTAATTAGAGTCCACGCCAGCTCACCTCAAGGTCGCATGACAGGCGGGTGAAGAGGCGGACCAGATTTGCTTTGTTTTGGGGGAAGTTCGTGGAAAAGTTTTCCGAGTTGAGAAGGGAAGCGAAGGATTTTTTTTTCTTTTTTTTTTTTTTTTTTTTTTTTTGATGGGCGTTTTTTTCATGGGCGGGGGGAAGGCGTAAGTTCAAAAGAAATGGAACGTGAGTGATATAATTGGTTAATTTCAACGCGGTTTAGAGATATTGAATGTATTTTTGTTTTTCTCCCCTTCATTGTTTATTTTTTTCCTTCTTTTCCTTCGTCTTCTCTTTTTTTTTTCTTATTTCCTCTTTCCCCGTCCTCTGACACTTATTCCTCTTTCTTCTTGATTCCATTCCCCCTTCCCCACCTCCTCCTTCCTCTCCTCCCCTTCCTCCTCCCTCTTTTTCCTCCTCTTCCTCCCCCCTCTTCTGCTCCTCTTCCTCCTTCCTCTTCTCCTCCTCTTCTTCCTGCCCCTTCCTTTCTCCCACGTCCTCCACTACACCGCCCCCCCTTCTCCCAACTACTGAAAGGAGTTCAAAAGCAAATCCTCTTTCCCTTCATTACAGATTCTCTTTATCCGTCCTTCTTTTTTTTCCTCTTTTTTATGTCCACTCTCCTCAGCTGTCGACTTTCTCGCCCACTCACACCTCGTCCCCAGCACCCCTCCCACCTCCCTCCCCTACCCCCCACACCACACTCCTTCCCTTCTACCCCCCCCCTCACACTCTCCTTCCCTTCGCCCTCCCCCTCCACCCCACCCCACACACTCCTTCCCTCGCCCCCCCGCCCCACATACACCTTCCTTCGCCCCCCCCCCACACACACTCCTTCGCCCCCGCCCCCCCTCCCCCACTTCACCTCGCAATCGATATAGCGATACAAAGATCTATCGGATTCGCACTCTTGTACACAACATTTCCCGCGCTGCCTCAGACTGTAAACAAAAATTCCGAGTATCTGTCACCATCAAAACCGTATTTTTCGCGACAAGAAGAGGACATCAGTTAACAAGTAGAGGTTAGGATACTCAAAGGCTTCCTGGGGTTCTAGATCAACACTTGGCTACCGTAAACAATAACATAAACTTTGTATTTATATGTCCCGCTGGTCATAAATATCTGTCCGGGGGGGAGTTATTGCCTTTCGGCCGGGGGTACCCTGTCGCGGGGGTGAATTCACTCGTTTTATGTTGTATTTCTTTGTTGTGGGTCGGGTTTGTTGTTGTATTTGTGGTTATTTGACCTTGTTTGATGAGTCTGCAGGTTTCGAATATTTAGTAATGTTGTTGTTTTTTTGCTGTTTCTGTTTATTGATTGCTTTGCTTGTCTGATGGATCTGTGGATGATTCAGTGTGGCGGGAATTATTTTTTTCGTTGCTTTTGTTGTTTCTGTTTGTTGATTCTTTCTTTCTTTCTTTATCTGATGATTTTTTCTTTGTTTGCCAATGTTTCTTTTTTTGCCGTGTTTCTTTGCTTGTTCTTGTTGATTCTTGTAGATTACGATTACTTATATTTATTCTTTTATTATCTATTACTTCTGCTGAATCTGCAAGAGTAGACATTCTACTGACATTTTTCTATTTTTTTCCATCATTTTCTTTACTCATACGACGCATCTAACAAACTCAACCCATCCACGAACACGCCACTCCTGTTTATTTTTCCCTTTCCCTCGTTTTCTTATCAAACAAAGGCATTGTCCCGTTGCTTCACAGAACGACCGACGACGCGCCTCCCCCTCTGACTCACGCGCTGATCTCCTTCCCTTGTTAAACTGCCGTCGACTTGCTCTTTGCTATTGATTGGACGGACCGTAAATCTGCCCTCAGTGACCTAGTCCGACCCGCGGTTCAGGGACTCGAGGTTCGGCCTTGGGGTCAATCTTCGCGCCGGATGATCTTTTCGACTCGCACGATACTCGTTCTCGGACTTTGCGGATTCTCTCTCGTTTCTTGTTTTTATTTATTTGTTTATTTATTTTTATTTATTTATTTATTACTTTTTTTTTTCTTTGGGGGGGGGGGGGTGTTTTTTTTTTTGGCGAGAGGAAGGAAGGGGTTAGATATAGATAAAAAGAGAGAGTGAAAGAAGGAGAAAAATGAATAATTAGAGAAATGTAGATAGATAGATGAATAGACAGACAAACAGATAGAAAGGCAGACAGATAACAATAAATAGATAAATAGAATGATAAATGGACAGATACATAGATATATGGAGAGAGAGAAAGACACGCAGAGAGACATACAGACACACACAGGCACACAGACAGAAGACAGCGAGAAACATCACCACCAAATCCCAAATAACCAAATCAGACATGAGATTCCACAAAAGACAATTTGAATGAATTAGTAAACTCAGTAACAACCTATTTTCTCTTCACTGATCTCCCTCCCTGGCTTTCCTGCGCCGCGTCTAAAACAGATTTCCCCCAACTGCCCTTAGCGGCCATAAACCGAAAACATGTAATGGAGTTTTTGATATGTGAGGAATAGCCAGCTGGCCG